GGTCAGAATGAACACAAACAAATAAACAAGTGTTGGAGAGGATGTGGAGAAAAGGGAACTCTAGTGCGCTGTTGGTGGGAATGCAGACTGGTGCAGCCACTGTGGAAAACGGTATGGAATTTCCTCAGAAAACTAAAAGTGGAACTTCCTTTTCACCCAGCAATTCCACTACTGGGATTATACCCTAAGAGCCCCGAAACACCAGTCCAAAAGAAGCTATGCACCCCAATGTTCATAGCAGCAGAATTTACAATAGCCAAGTGCTGGAAGCAACCTAAGTGCCCATCAGCAAATGAGTGGATCAAAACACTATGGTACATTTACACAATGGAATTCTATGCAGCAGAAAGAAAGAAGGAGCTTATTCCCTTTGTGACAACATGTATGGAACTGGAAAGCATTATGCTAAGCAAAATAAGCCAGGCAGTAAGAGACAAATACCATATGATCACACCTTTAACCGCAACATAATCAATAAAAGAAAAAGCAAACAGACTATAACCAGAGACATTGAAATTAAGAACAATCTAACAGTAGCCGGAGGGGAGGGGGAAGGGGGCAGTGGGGAGAAGGGTTTTCAGGAACTACTATGAAGGACACATGGACAAAACCAAGGGGGGGTGGAAGCAAGGTAGAGAGGGTGGTTTGGCTGGGGTGGGAGGGAGGGGTGAGGAGAAAATGCAGACATCTGTAACTGAACAACAATAAAAAATGTAATTTTCTCTATTCTGCCTCTTTAATTTTGTCTTTCATCATAAAAATTAAGAAGGCTTCTTGTACTGTACTTGACACCATGATCTAGAAGGTGTTTGAAACTAGGTCCACACTCAGTGTAATCATTTGTTTCACTTCAAACATAATCACTTTTTTCAGGATCATTGTGCTATAAAATGTCAGATAACATTTAGGTTGGACATTATGTCTTTCTTGATATCCTTCAGAAGTTTGGTAGGGACTACTCAACAAAACCGTCAGGTAATAAAGAGTAAAATGTGACCTACAGTTGAGCTAGGAATGTTTTGTTGTTGTTGTTTCTATTAGATCCCTGTGAGCTCAAACTCGTGAAACAAAAGACGTCATCATCTTTATGTGTCTGAGTCAGTCATCCAACAAGTGCTTCCTGAACACCTGCTGTTGTGCCAGGGCTTCTTCCCATGCTCTAGGGCGTGGAAACAAATAAACATAATTAATTTCCTAGGAAAACAAAAATAAATTAGGGAGAGAGAATTGAGCATGACAAGTGCATTTTGTACAGGATGTCCAGGGAAAGTTTCTCTAACGAGATGCACTTGAGCAGGTTCCTCATTGAAGCCAGAGCAGGAGGAGAGAGGACCTCTGAGGCAGAGCATTCCAGGAAGAGGGGGCAGCAAGTGCCCAGCCCTGGGGCTTCTTCCCATTTTCAGGGTCAGACAAGATTACAATGTGGCTAGAGTACAGTGAGCACCGCAGAACAGTAGGACATGAGATCAGAGAGGATGTGAGTGGTGGTATCATGTAGTATCCATCAGCCATGGTAAGGCATTTATTTACTTTTTACTCTGAGAAGAAAAAGTTTTTGGAGGAAACTGAGCCCAGGAATTGGCACACAATATGGTATATATTTTTTTAAATTATTTTACCTACCCATTGTATTCTTTTCTTTTCATGTTTCACTACAAATAACCACAGATTTGTGGCTTAAAAAACACATAGTTATTATCTCACAGTTTCCATGGGTCCAGAGTAAGGGAAGGACCATTTACCTGTATTCTCTGCTCAGCATCTCATGAGTCTCACCTCAAATCAAAATGCCATTTGAAGTGCGGGGTCCAGTTTCAAGCTTATGCAGGTTGTTGGCAGAATTCACTTCCGTATGGTTGCAACGTTGAGGTCCAGGTCCTTAACTTTTGTTTGTTTGTTATTTGTTTTAGCCATCCTGATCATTTTTTCTACAGTGGTAAAGAAAAAAATAACAAGTTTTATCATCTTAACCATTTGTTAAATACAGTTCAGCGTGTTAAGAATACTCAGGTTATAAAACATCTTTAAAATGTTTTCGTCTTGCAGATCTGAAACTCTGTACCCATTACACTATTACCCTTTCCCCCCTCCTCCTATCTGCTGACAACCGCCATTCTGCTTTCTGTTTCTATGAGTTTGACAATTTTATATACCGCATATATGTGGAATCATACAGTATTTGTCTTTTTGTGACTGGCATATTGTTTGTTTGTTCTTGCTGGCTGGGAGCCTGGAGCCACTCTTCATTCCTAGCCCCATAGGGTTTGGATATTGGGGGGTGGGGAGTGGTTATTTCGGAATCTTGCCTACTATGAAGGGAAGAACAGAATTGTGATAGAGGCAGAAGATAAAAGGCACCGAGGTGTCTAAGCCTTTGCTTCTCAAAATTTAATGTGTATATAAATCTCCTGGGGATTGTGTTAAAATTAGATTCTGACTTAGTAAGGCTACAGCCTGACTCTCCTAACAATCTCCTAGGTGATACCAGTGCTGCTTGTGGAATAGCAGCACACAGGCTAATGATGAGAGTGGGTTGGGCTAGGGTGGTAACGATGGAGATGAGAAACGGTCTGACGAGGGATATGACCTGAAGGGAGGCCCAAAGGGCTGGCTGAGGAGGAAGGAGAAGCATCGGGATGATGACGTCTAAGTTTAAGGGATGACAAAGACTATAGGAGGAGCTGGTTTCAGGGTCGGTATCAGATGTTCAGTTTGGATAAAGCAATTAGAGTCCAAATAGAGATGATCACTAAATGCTATGGGAAATAGCGCATCTATAAATCATATGCATTGTTACTAGATACTAAAATTCTTATGCTTCTGTGAACCACCACTATGAGACTCATCCTAAGTGTCTAGAAATGTATTTCACTTTATTAAAAATTTAAGCAATTCAAATGGCTTTATTGATTCATGCTGTAAATTCTGTCTCTGCTTCTCTTGCATTGATATTAATAAACCAGCAGTGTTTTCCTGTCCTAGTACCAATGCTCTTTGCTGTGAAGTTGACATGGTATTGCTCAGATCATTAGAGCTATTCCTAGAAGCTGACATGTGCACCACTGTGCATCCTTAAACCTCAGGTACCCTCTGGGAATAGAGTTAGATTTTGAAAAATAAAATTTTCACCATCTGTCAGTTTGGGTAGATGCCTCACTAAGAGATGAATCACCTAATTTTCCTTGGCTACATGGGCAGTTTTATGGGATGACTGATTACGATTTCTTTCCTGGGCTAAATCATGCAAATTTAGTTTTATCACATTATGAAAGGTTGCATGGAAGTCCATCCTCATTGATTGCTCTATCACAGTGATTTTTGACTTTTTTCACCTGATGGAACACACCAGCCATATAAACTAATTACTAAAGTTTTGCGGAGCACCAAAAAAGCTACTTTTTGCCCACCTGACCAAAAAAAAGTATAATTTTGATCAATTTCAAACAAAAAGATAATAATTATATTTTACCCCTTTTTGCTGCAGTGAGGTTTTTTTTTTAACATTGGGTGCCTGTACCTGTATATAAGGATATCTGGTACCAAGAATTATCCAGTCAGAGGCATCTTTGTTATGCAGTGTGACCCATAAGATGTAACTCTGTTGTATGTCCTATGTGTTTATTGTTCGAGACAGGGCAGTCACACAGCACAATTATTGTTGTGTTGGCTGTTGTCATTTTTTATTTGACAATCTAGGGAAAAGAGGTCAGTGGTCCTGACTGAATAGTCAGGTATTGCATGTTTTTAAAATTCTTCCAGCATCCTGACTGAAAATCGATGCTTTGTCACAAGGAGTAGATGTCATATACAGAGCCTGGCACAAGTAACTCCCCTTTTTTATTACAAACTATTTTATTACAAAATCATAAGCATGTGATCCTGTAACATAACAATATCCACTCAAGCACACCATATGACATTTTAGATGAAATATTCAAATTAAAGCTGTGAATTATTATACACATATAATTACCCCACCAAGCACACTCAAGCAGGCTTTACTTCTGCTGGACCCTGTAGTAGAATAGGGTGGTATAGAGGGCGTGTTTGCTTATAATTTCCTTCAGCATCAACCACATTTAGTCTGGGCCTTACCCAACTTGTGTTCTGAGAGAAAAGCATTGACCGGACATAAGCTGGAAGCACTGCAGCCACTCTGCTCTTACATGAGATGCTGCAGAAATGCTAGCCAGTGAAAAGTTTGAGACTTGAAGTTGCAACATTTCATATATTTTAATAGACCTTTAAATAAAGTATGGCTGTTCTTAGCACTGTGTGGGTGCTTGGCTACATAATGTCAGTGAAACAAGGTTATGAGAGATGACCAGGGTTTCAGGAAGGGGTGAAATGCAGGCAGCACAGGGCAGTATCGGTTTATCGGACTGTTCATTCTGTAGAACACATGAGCATTCACTTCACTGTAAGCCAAAATCTTTATAAGACAGCCCTGTTTCATTTTGCTGAATGTTAAACAATAAAACCATGTTTGCTTTATGACCAAAAAAAAAAAAAAACTGGGAAGAGGGGAGGAAGGATGTGCTGGTAATTATGTTTTTGTAAACAAGACTCTGAGCAGATGGAAGTTAAACCACATCATTTAAGAAGGATGAGAGGAGGTCTGAAGGGGGCCACCCCCATGGACAGGGCTAAGGAGGTCAGCACTGTCGTCTGGACACCTGTCAACCTGGAGCCCTGGGCCAGGACTGCTGCCTTACGTGACAATTAGGCTTTCTGTCGGTTTGAAGAGGTGTGATGGCCAAAGTAAGCAGTGCTGTTCTCTGCACTTGATGTGGTCTGTAGGCCTCTTTTTAAAGTGCGTATTTTAAATCTCAGAGTCTTAAATCTAGGAATAGTTCTTGTTTGAATTGGTTCAAAGATGTCTCAATCTTTCCTACTGTTGTATATATTTTTAATATAATAGATTAGCTACTTTGTAATACAAAATGTAGCTTTTGCATTTTAAATTATGAAACTAACTTCTTACCCTTTCCTTCTCCTAGGAGCACTGAGCCAAAAAAATTGGGGAAAGAAATATCCAACATGTAATAGCCCCAAACAATCTCCAATCAACATTGATGAAGATCTTACACAAGTAAATGTGAATCTGAAGAAACTTAAATTTCAGGGTTGGGATAAATCGTCTTTGGAAAACACGTTCATTCAGAACAATGGGAAAACAGGTAAAATGTTTACATTTTGATTGTTACAAAATAATATTTAAAAATGAACGCCTTTTCTTTTCTGGTATATTTTAAATTAAATTACATGTATATCAAGAAGTTAAGTAAAAATATGCTCATAGGGCCCTGGCTGGTGTAGCTCAGTGGATTGAGTGAGGGCCTGCAAACCAGAGGATCACGGTTTGATGCCCAGTCAGGGCACATGCCTGGGCTGCAGGCCAGTTCCCAGCAGGGGACCCACGAGATGCAACCATACATTGATATTCTCTCCCTCTCTCCTTCCCTTCCCCTCTAAAAATAAATAAATAAAATCTTTAAAAAAATATGCTCATAGGGAAATATTAGAAAACATATTCAATATTATAACAGTAGCTATGTTGATGTGGTTTATCATAGTGAATTTTTTCAATATTTTTCATAATTTAGTAATATAATTATTTGAATATAGCAATTTAGTTTTAAATTTCATGAGGATAGGAATTTTTCTACATTAGTGCCTACTGTATAGTAAGCTCTCAGTATTATATTTTGCCATGTATAATGTGCATGGTTTTGTCCAAAATTTTTAGGGAAAAATAAGAATGTGCATTATACCCGGGGAGTCCTAAAACATTGGTATGCATTAGACATGGGAGCACATTATACACAGCAAAGTACAGTATGTATTGAACGAAAAATTCAGAACAATATCTCGTGTTATACTATATTATTAATTAGATTAATAAAAGTATATATCCCAAAACTTGACATTTTCAGTACCACCTTTGAAGGCTATTGTTACAAAGCAGTGAGACATATCCCTTTCACAGTATTTTCTGAGTGGAGTGAGGTCAGTACTTGATCTTCAGAGCCACATCTTTGAGTTCAGTGTTGGCTTTTAAAGTACAGTGTGAATAGAGTGAAACCTTGGGCAGGGTACTCTTCGTGACTCAATTTCATTATCTGTAAAATATGGATTAGAATACTGTCCCTTTCCTAGAATATGTGAGTATCAAATGCTTAATATATGTAAATTACTTAGTGGAATGCATGGCACATTGTGATAAATAAATGTTGATGATTATTGTTATTTTCTTGTTCTTGCCATTGTTATTTACATTATTAATGGAAGTTGATATCTCTAGTTGTCTGGCTAGTATGTTGGATTCAGTCTTTAATGCCAACATTGGTTTCTTTCTCATGGAACAAAAACTATTTATCTGATTCAGAGACATTAAAATCTTGCATTAGGCTTTCAAGAGAATCATTAATCTCCAGTTAACTCTTAAAATAGATAATGTTTGCCTTGGAACTCAAATTAGGAGAATTTAAGAGTTTGAAAGTTGTCATTCAGAGTTCAAACAAGACACATCTAAAACCCCTCAATGGAAATGGGTTTCCACCTTTCTTGCCACAGCCCAGAACAGAGGTTCTGGAGCTTGATGAAGCCTGGAGTGATGCGTGGAGAACTAAGGAGGTGGGACAGAAACAGCAGCCTCATAAGGAGCAGATGAACTGAAAGTGAGAAAGGGGGAGCACTCCCACAAGAAGAATTTTCTTCTTTCTACCCTTCTGTTCCTTCTCCTTTCATTCTGTTCCCTCACTACCATCAAATGCCTCAGGGAAGCGCAGCCTTGAGGAAACCGCCAACTCAGGACACTGAACAAACACAGCAGTAGATTGGCCGGCCGACTTGTGCTTATTATAAGGGTTCCACAGCAGTTAAGGTCTTCAGTTTAGTTTATTATTTTAGGCAATAAAATACATTAAGTATATTGTAAAGAGTTACAAGTTCACCTTCCACAAATGTCAACTTAACTTTTTAAATTTATCAAATGAACGATTTTAATATACCTATAATAGCAAAAAATTAGTTGAAACTTGTAATTTTGATTTTTAGAAATTTAGATGAAATTTTGTGTGTGTGTGTTTTAGTGGAAATTAATCTCACTAATGACTACCGTCTCAGTGGAGGAGTTTCAGAAACGGTGTTCAAAGCAAGCAAGGTAACTTTTCACTGGGGAAAGTGCAATATGTCATCTGATGGATCAGAACATAGTTTAGAAGGACAAAAATTTCCCCTTGAGGTAAGTCACTAGTTCTGCGGGTAACTACTTCATTTTCTAAATCATTGAGATTTTATTTAGTGTATAATTTTATTAATTTGTTATCAAATTTTATAATTTACACAGTTATGTTTTATTTACTTTGTTAATATCTGTTTTTATCACTAGCCTAAGCACAATAACACCCAAATTTGTTTTTTTCTTCTGGTAATCCAGAGTACCGAGTTATAGATGATCAGTAATGTTGATGAATAAATGAATTAATTAATTTCTTCCATATTCCCTAAATAAAAAGGGAGAACATTTTATTAATATACTGGAGAATAAGAGAAATACAAAATATGAGAAAATTTTTCAGCTTTATAATTCTCCAAATAAATATAATTATTATAAATAAGTGTAGGGTAGAATAAACATTTTCATACATGTCTGGAGAGAGTATAAATTGGTTGACTTTCTGAGATAGCATTTGCTTGTTTTTATTAAAAAGTTGAAATATTTCAGTCTCGATACCCATGATTTCAGTTTGTAGCAATTTGGCCTAAAAAAATAATTAGACATACTCAAATATATATATGTTAAAAAGATTTATTTATAGTAATAAAAAGTTGAAATAAAAGAAAATTATTAGTACATTATGATGGAATGTTATTATCTTCTAAAGTCATTTTTAAATGATTTACCCAAATATGTTGTACTATAAGATAATGCTTTTTAATTTTTAAAGGTATTCATGCTTTTAAAAACAATATAAAATGTTGAACATGGTATTATTATATCAACTTTATAAAACATGAAAACTAGTGACTGAGAATAAAGAGTGTGAATCGAATGGACTGGGTTTTAATATGGACTTTACCATTTTGTTATTAGCTTAAGACATGACATTATCCAAATTATTTACTTTACCTGAGCTTTCAGTTTTTTCTGCAAAACTGACATAATGGTAGTAGCTCCTGCCTTATGAAGTTATTTTGAGGGTTAAATGAGAAAAAGAATTATTACTAGTATAAAAATAACTGATGGAAATAAAGAAAATATTAGCAGTGATTTTCTTTTTGTTAATGGCATATACATGCCCTTCTACTTGAAAATCTTTATACTTTTTAAATTACCTATAATGAAATTGTATTAGTTTATAATCCAATTTGATATTGATAATAAAAATAAGAATAAAGTTAATTATGTTTTAAAAGACTAAAAATTATTTTTAATGTGAATAACCACATTTAGATTTAGAACTTATAATTTATTTTTAAATGTATTAAATGTCCTTAAAGAAAACAATTACCAAATTTGAATTGCAAAATAAATAAAAGTTATTAAGCACATAACATTCTCATTTCTGAAAGTTTATTTCTCTCACAATATTATTTATTTAGAACAAAGATGAAAATCAATATACAGATGATATATTATAGAATTGTACACTTGAAGCCTATGTAATATTTATTAATCATGCCACCCAGTAAATATGATAATTTTTTAAATTTTTTAAAAGGTTTTATTTATTTATATTTAGAGAGAATGGAAGGGAAGGAGAAAGAGAAGGAGAGAAACATCCATGTGTGGTTGCCTCTTACATGGCCCACACTGGGGATCTGACCTGCAACCCAGGCATATGCCCTGACTGGGAATTGAACTGGTGACCCTTTGGTTCCCAGCCCATGCTCAATCCACTGAGCTACACTAGCCAGGGCTAAATAATATTTTCTAATTAATAAAATTCTGGCAAAAACATAAGCCCTGAACTTCAAAATAAATAGTACAGAATCTGTGCACAATATCTTACACACACACACACACACACGTATATATGTAAATAGACACACATATATACCCATATATTTCTTTTAAAAGGCCTTTTGTTGTGTGTTTGTTTGCTTGTTTGTTTGTTTAAACTCTCTTTGTGTCACTCTGTGAGCAAGCAAATGAGGAGCATCCTCAATTTGCTCTTTTTTCTGGTCTTCCACATTCTTAGGTCATTCTGTTCCTAAATGATGTCAGAGAAAACTTCCAACCACCTTTGGCTCTTAGTTGGCTTATCAAATGTTTCTGAACTGGTCTCCTTTTCTCCACTATTAATCTCTTCCACATCACCCTTTCTCAGCGTCCTACCCCCTCCTTACCTTTTTAACTGAAATGCATCAGGACTTGCCATTGTTTTCCAGACCAAACTGCAGACAGGGATTGCCTTGCAGACCTTCCTGGTGTGGCCCCGCCTTCTCCAGCTTCATCTCTCCTCGGTTACATGTGCTCAGTTGAAACCAAAACACAAATTACTCCCCATTTACTGCATTTCTCATATTTGCTTCCCTTTTGGCCTTTCCCAGCCCAGACCTTTGACTTGAACACGCACTCACTTACTCTGCATTTTCACCTATGAGCTTTTTTTAAGTTACTCATTTCTGGCTTAGCTTAGAAATTTTCTCATTGAGAGGCTTTGTTGATTACTCAAGGCAGGAGCCACTGCCATTTTCTGCTTCACACCCGTCCTTTCTCTGATGACAGCCCTATGGGCACACTACTCTCAGATGCTGTCTGCTTTTCCCTTAACTGTACTTTGAAACTAGCCAACTTACCTCATTTCCAAGCCCATGACCTGAGGAGCACCAAATTATAAATGAGACTAGAGGCTGTTATTGACAGATATGTAGACCAAAGTAGCAATTAACAAGGTGTAGCCTCACAGCTGGAGAGGAGACTTAGAATAAGGAACTTAAAAGTCTTGGTATTTTTAGATGGAAGCAAAATCCTTAAGAGTTTTACTGTAAATAGAATGCAATGTCCAAAAATAGTAACTCAGACCATCAAGAAAGGTATGTCCAGTCAAGAAATATAAAACTATATTTGAAAGAATAACAACAAAATGATTGAAATAACATTTGATCATTTATTATTTTTGATAATTTCTCTAATCATTACTTTCAGTGTTGACTGTGGTCATTCTCAAAGTGATCATTTTGGTTCTAGGTAGGTCTAACTTGTATCTCCTTCCTCATTGCAGGATGATACATGATAGTAAATGCAGTGTGCATGTACATAATTGGTAAAATATTTTCAAAGTGTGCAAAAGATAGAGTTCTACAGTTTATAGAATTTTTCAAGTAGAATTGATTGAATTGGTAAATTATTTTATTGTCTCTTTTCTGACTCTTGTGCAGCTTTTCTATATAATAAAAACATCATTTTTACATTTATAGATGCAGATCTACTGCTTTGATCCAGACCAGTTTTCAAGTTTTGAAGAAGCAGTGAAAGGAAAAGGAAAAATAAGAGCTTTATCCATTTTATTTGAGGTAATAATCATACATGGATTTAATACACTAACTTAATTCCTTTTTTAGTCACATGAAGTATTGGTGTGGAATATCAAAACTTACTTTGGAACAAATAGAAGAGCTCATAAGTCAATGATAACTGTTGGCTGTTTTCAAAATGAACAGCCCCTTGTCTGGGAAGTTGAAAGAGGACTCTTGTATTCATTTATTGGGTACCTCACTTCCAGCAGGAGCCAACTGTTCTGAGTGTACCAATTTGTGTATTTGTATATGCAAAGCATCATAATGATTTGTGACCATGAATCATGACATTTTAAAATGTACTTTTCTTGGCAGAAAATTTAAAAATTTAAGAGGTTTGTTTTGTTTTTACTTTGCTGTGAGAAAAAGTGAGCATTTGGAAGACATTTCTTTTGAAAACTTAAAATGGAAATCACTAATCTTTACATTTAACTGAACAGTTAATCAAATATTTTATTTCATCTTTAAAAATGTCATTTTTAACAGGTTGGAATAGAAGAAAATGTGGATTACAAAGCAATTATTGATGGAGTTGAAAATGTTAGTCGTTTTGGTAAGCTGTTTGGTGAAATCCCTTCCCATATTTGTATGCATATGAATGTTTACAATATTACAAAAATCGGCTGTTCCAAAAGAAGAAAGGAGCAAAGCCTCAATTTTCACACTTGATGATTTATACATTTTATACTAAAGAACAATTATCTCTAAATGTTTTCACATAAAAAATCGTAAAACATTAATGGAAGTAGGAAGCTGAAGTTTTCTTATTTTATTCTCGAAAATAATCTAATTCTGTGATGAAATCAAAATTTATTCTGTCTTTTCATTGTACATCTGTTAAAGATTCTAATTCATAATTTGAAATTAGATGATTTTATAAAAATCATGCTTTAGGGTCAAAAGAGGAATTTCTCCCAAGTTAAAAATTTATACCCTGGCGGTTTCCTTGATAAGCTTTACCAGTATGACAAAATAAGAGTTTTGGAAGAAGGTAATTGCTTACATACAAGATATGATATGCTTTGATAGTGTTCTCCCTGCTTTCTCATGGCTCTGGTAATTTGTCACATATGCTTTTGACCTTGGCAAGAGAAAACAAACATATTGTTATTTTATTTTTATTAGTCACTCACACATAAAGTATTAATGTCCTGAATCATCCATAAAATTATGATATTTCCTCTTTCATAAACTGCAAATTTGAATTCTGACACAAAATTTATTTAAACCCTTTTCTTGAGAGTAGAAGCTGGACTAGGGTTGATTTCTCTTGGAAAATTATATGTGAAGACCTGAATTGTCTGACTATTTGAGAAATCAGGAGTATATGAATTCCTGCAGTGTGGCTTTAATTTTTAAAATTTTTTTGTAAAGTTCAATTAAATGCAAGATGAAGCTGGTATCTCCTTCTATCCTAATTGCAAAATTCAACATTGAGTGCCATCAGCCACATTTAATTTTTTTCTCATTTAGTAGATACTGTCAAGACTGAAAGAAGGCAGCTAGCATGAATTTCTACACTTAAAATTGTATATAAAATGAATTCTGAATGTTCTCAGGTTTTGCATCAGCCAGTGGGGACAAGAGCAATGCTGACACTGGATTGTTAGTGCTGACTGTGTAACTGGGCCTCTAAGGCCGCTTTCTCTCAAAGATTCTTCGAGTTATTCCTGAGGGACTCTGGAAGGGTGCTCAGATGAGTTTAGCAATCAATTTGCTCATGTTCTTTGATTAAAGTTCACTTTCTAACATCTACTACTTGCAAGCCACTGAGGGACATGCTCCATCAGAGTCACTGGTGCCACATAATACTCTCCCTGAGAAGATGGATTCCCTAAGAGCATTGTTGTGTCTGTGTCCTGGCTCCTGCCTCAGTAGCAGAACTAATATACATATATTAGCTATTTTTCTGACTGGCTGGGAACATGTACTAGTCTCTCCTCCATTCTCCATCTACCTTCTGTATTTCTACTCTGCTATTTGTGCACCAACTTCCTCCCTCCCCTTTTGCCAGCTCACCCACTCAATACTTAATGTTTCAATACACTCAGCAAGGATACCTAATTTTGATAGTTGGTAAGTGGTAGAACCAGAATTTAGATCCTGGTCTGTCCACACAATTTGTTCCACTATATGGTGGAGATTTCTATTAGTTATGCATTTCAGAACACACAGGAAATATGTTTTAATTTTACTTGAATAGTTGTTAAATACCATCTGTTTCAGCTGAATAAGTGAAGCCCGCCTAAATTCAGTACTTCCATTTTGAGAGTTCTTGGATTAAATCCATTTTCGAGTCTAGAAAAATTCTCCCATGCCTGAGAAACTGCAATCTTCCCTATGTTTGCTCCCAGCCATTGCTGCTGGGAACCTGGAGGCTTGAAGGCCATGCCTGTCCTTAGTCAGTGACTCTGGAACTGCAGCTAAACTTCCAAATCCTGCTCCATATTCTCCATATAATGTGAGTTGTCTGAAACACAACACTTTTCGATCATCATGCAGATTATAAAATCTGTTTTATTGTATGTGGCTGGTTGCTCATTTCCTGTTTTTTTTTTTCTATAAGATATAAACCCATTTCTCTTTCCTTCCCTTACCCCTGCCTTTCTTTCTCTTTCTCACACCATCCCTAGTGAATGTTAGGTGTTGTCTGGTCCATGGTGTGGCGAGAGAGAGCATGATATGGCAGCCATCTAAGATAGTATATTATTCTCTTCCAAGCAGAGCCCACAAAGAAAAGAGAACTGTTAATTGAACTCTTTCAAACTGCAAGGAAGAAACACACCTCAGATAGCATCATTAGTAATTCTCAAATGGGAATTCTCAATAGCATGACTTGTGGTGCCACAAATTCAGCCCAGGAATGTCTATATTGAAAAAATTCTCACAGGCAGTGTTATTGTAGCTCCATCTTAAACTCATTGTCCTAAGTAATAAGAATTGGTTTCAAGTATTTAGTGGTTCTTCCCTAGTGCTTGGCCATGTTGTGGTACTTATCTCCCTACCTCTCAACCTCCTCATTTTTCTCCCTCCTACAGAAGACAGATCTGATTGATTGGTTAATCACTGGTTTATATGTTCAAAGGAATACTGATTGAGTAAATGAATGATTTTCCTCAAACAGATCAACTTTTCTCAGGTGTGATTCTCTCTTGTATTAACAAAAGTGATGTAATTCAGATAAAACATGTTTTTGCAAGCCACAAATAACCCCCACCTTAATTTTATTTTCCCATAAAATGGTGGTGTAAATTGAAAAACACTACCACAATGGAAAAGTCTTGAGAAATCCAAGACAGAAATTTAGGACATGAACATAAATTCAAAAAAGAAATGATACAAAATTCATTCATAAGTTAACACATTCATAAATGAGGCTAAATGAGTACTGCTGAGGCTCTGAGGGAGGAAGAATGGATTCCATACTGGGATGGGGCAAGGAGAAATCAAAACTGTCTTCTGATTCTTTATCTTTTTAGTTCTCAAATTTCTTTTCCTATTTCAAGAAAATTCTCTCTCATCCCCATTCAGATCTTGCTACCTTTTTTTTCTTTCTATGTCTCCCTGTGTTATTTCATTTCCCACCTAACTTAGCAGTGAGTCGATTTTTGTATCCTTCCTCAATTAGTGTGCTTCACATCCACATTTCCACAGAACATTTGAAAGATAAATTTTGTCTTCAGAGAAAAAGGAAAAAATTCTAGCCCAATGATGTTTAAAGGGATATGATTGCATCACAAAAATTTCGTGTATGAAAAACATAAATCTGAAAATGGAAAATATTCACTTATCAAAAGTAAGTATATTTCTATTTCAAAGAACTTAAATCTGAGTCTGAATATCAATAATGTCATCCTGACATTGGCAGAGAAGAAGACATCCTTTGGAAGTTACTAATTAATCCATAAACCAAATAGACATAGAACTTTCTATTGGATTAAAAGTAGATTTAGGTTGTATATGGCCAACACTATAAGTTCCATCAAATAGATTTTATTTCTAGCATTCACTCTTAAATTCACACTTGAAGCAGTTATCAATAGCTTTATTAAGGTCATCCTTCCTTCAGATATTTCTAAATTGCAAAAAAATTAACATTCAATAATTGAAGTGGAAATATTTTTTTTACTCTTTTCTGGGTATACTCAGTATTTTCACAGATTTTAGAACTGGAATAGACTATTAAGATCACCTATTCCAGTCATTTCATTTTATAATAAATAAAGTAGGATTTAAAAAGACTAAAGTCTTGCAAAGGTTTCACTCCACTTGGTATTTTCAACCCCGGCTGCATTTTGGAACCATCTGGAGCATATTTTTTTAAATGCAGATGTTCAGTCCCCCACCACTAGGGATTTGAATTTAAATGGTCCAGTTGGGACCTTGGATATTGGTATATTTTTTAAGGCTTCCTAGATGATATGAATAAAAGGTGAATAAGGTGCTCTACGCTGTGCTACCTCACTTAGACTAGATTAAATTGGCTTTAGGGACTATTTCTTAATGACCTAAATCACTTGCTGGAGCAGAGGACATGAATAGGGCTGGGCAGTTATGAGGATGGGAGAAGGAGTTATGCACATGTCTCACTGGGAAGCAGATTGCTGCTTATGTGAGTGAGGACTGGCACACAATTAGCTAAATGACCAAGGCAGTGTTATTGGGACAGCCTATTGGGAAGATATAAAAACAAAAATGGGGCTATTTAAGGAGTCAGGTAAGTCCGATTGTTTTAGGATTCTAAGGCCAGATGAAACACTGAGGAAAGCTCTACTGTAGTAGACCGCTCTGCCTGATTTTAGGAATTGTGTCTCTACCCCTTGTGGCTAAGGGCGAGAGACGACCTTTGGAATGCCAGCTACAGGAGACAAAGCCTGTCTCTGGTAGCAAACACTGCCTCAGTTCCTCTCTCTGCCCCCAGAGCTTGGTCGGAAGTCAATGACGGGTAAGACCCCTCACAGCAGGAGGCAACCTAAGCCAGACTTGATCACCTGGGAGGCTTTCATGGAAGGACTCAGGGGGCTGCAACAAAGAGCAATGGACTCTTGCGCCCCCCCCCCCTTGTCAAAGCCCAAGTCCCCATGTTCTCTGGGAGAAGCGCTTCCTGGCTCTAATCCTCTTAAGCCTGAATACCTGATCGGGAGGGGTGCAGCTCCTTGCCTGGCTAGAGCGTGACCTGGGGGAAAATCTGGCATCACAAAGACTTGCTGATAAACCTGTGAAATCTGCTCTGCTAAGAGTGCTTTCATTCATATGATAAGGGTCCGAAAGGAAATGAGTATGTCTCCCAGTTTCTGCAACTCTCTTCCTGACAGACACTGATGCATAATAAGCCCTCAGATTTCTTTGTAATGTTATCTACTGTTTGATCCTTGCCGCCCTGTATTCCTGTGTATTACAACCCAATAAAAGGCTGTGGAAGATGGCACTCGGGGCCTCTTTCTCCCCAGAGAAACTGGCCGCAGCCCACGCCTCCATCCCCAAACAGATCTCATTTTGTCTCAGCCATATTTATTCATTCACGAGTGTCCGTGGCACTGGGGGGACCTCACG